TGTTTTTACTGAGTCTTTGCAGATCAAATGTTCTAAGTCTACTTCTATGGATAATTCTTCCTGTGACCTTGATGAACATTTATTTCCCTGGCTAATCTTCCTTTCTGTGCAATTCATCTCTCATTAACCATCCGACATGTAGCAGCCAATATCCTCTACTGCAGTGTTTATTGGTCATTTCTTCATTAATTTGCTTTGAACTTGCATCCTATTGTGTAAAATCTATTCTGTTTCATAGAGTACAATTTGAGTCAATGTTCATTATTTAAGCTTTCCATATGGATTTCCCCCTTGTTTCCCATGGGCTGGCTAACAGCCAGAATTCTTATTACAACTGATTAAAGAACAAAACTTTTTACAAGAATTCTGAACAGTTTCTTAAATGGAGGCCTCAAAATAGCTTTCTCATTTAATATTTGCTTTCAGTACTAGCTTATTTTTAAATGTATAATTGAACACAGCTAAACCAAACAAATTTCTCAGGGAGCAAATTAATATCCTAAAAACAAGGGTAATGAATTATACATTTTATACATCACTGGAGACTGGTATCTCTTAATTTAATAAACTTTGAAGTTATTTGAAGATGAGTTAAGATCTCTCCATGACTCAATGACAAGAAGTTATTAATAGTATTGCTCTGATGATCCCTTTTCTCCAATTACAAACTAATAAATTAATATTCTTGTTTACATAATAATCTGAGTTTATATTAAGTATGATCAGTTCCTCAGAGCCTCATTAACACTGAAAGAACAGGTAAGATCAAATTTTCATAGCATGGAGTAATAGAAATCTTTAGGAGGGAGCTATTGAATATACCAACCTTCTATCCTCTTATTAAAATTTGGCTTCTAACAGTCTTAAGCAGTTGTGTTTATTGTATTCCCTACCTGTACCAGAAATTTAAGATGCATTCTCTTTTTAAAAATCCTCAAAGCAATCTTCTGTTACAGATAGTATGCCCATTAGTTATCTTTGAGTTGCTAGTACAGAAAACGTATTCAAAAATTCCAGAAATTTTATTGGTTCACTTAATTGAAAAATTTAGAGGGAAGTCAGGCTTCAGAGAGCCTGTGATCCAAAGGCTCCAATGTCAGTAAAGCCAGCCTTTCCTTCATTCTTTTCTGCTTTCTATGAAAGCATCTTATGATGCTTCTTAGATGCTTTCATCTTAAGACTGCCAGTTCTTATAATGTGCTGTCTAATTCACTTCTGCTTGCACTTCTTATCTCTCTCAAAAAGTTTCATTCACCCTTCAATCATCTCCTTGAGACTGTGTCCTGTATTAAGCCATGTGTCTTTCCCTGAACCAATCATTTAGACAGAGGAATGGACTTCTTTGATTGTGTTAAGCCAATCTAGGACCACTCTTTGTTCAGAGAGAGGTTAATACCTTCTAAAATGGGGGTGGGGGCAATTCTCTAAAGGAAATTATAGCATTTGAGGGGAAACTAAATGAGGTACAGCAAGCAACCATCCCTCCTACAACTCATCCTCATTTTTAATGTGAAATAACTTCAGCAGTAATAAGTAGTAGTGTATATTACATGCTAGATACATGCCTAATGCTGTAGACACATTTTGGTTTCAAAGCCATCTTAAGAAATAAATGGTATTTAGTCCCTATTTCGTAGAAGTTTAGAAAGATTAATCAAGTTTCCCTAAGCCACACTGTCAATCAGACCCAAGTGAGTCTGACTTCGTGACTCTCTTCACCATGACTCTTTTCCTCATGACTCTTTACTGTGAAACTCTGAGTCTGAGCCTCCAGAGTAAACCAGAAGTTGATTATTAAAAACATATTGTCTTAGAAATTCATCATTTCTGTAGAATTCTAGGAAATAATCATGCTGTCTTGGTTTAAGCACACCCATACAGAAAGAAACCATGCTAAGACAGAAATACAAAAGAGAAGTTACCTTCTTTTACCTACTTTGAGCACAAAATCCTTACTTTAGTGGACAAGTTAGGGCACTGTATGCCTTGTACATGCAGACATATAGGTGTATGTGTGCGCATATACTATGTATACCTGTGTATACATATGTGCATATATTTATGTGCCTCATGTATGAGTTTCATACGTATCAAAATTCTAAAGTTTTTAACTTGGCACTTAGTAAAAATGAAAAAGGAACAGGTTGAAAGACCTGGATTCTTTCCTTTAAACTAATCTCATAGTAAATAGTGAAGACTATAACATCCGTTTTTCTTCATTGATGGTGATTATCAAGTATTGTACCTAAAGGAGTATTTTCAGCCTATCTGAATTATTTTCTGTTTATCTTAAGTTTTGTCCCATAATTTACTTCTTGCTGCAGCATTCTTATTTCTTGCTGCAGCATTCTTACTGCTTGCACTTAACAAGACTCAGGTTTTCATCCTGAATCATAATTATTTAATTTTTACTGAAGTCCTGGCTTCCATCTGGTTTTCTGCAAGACACTGACTGGGCCTGTGGCATCTTTGGGACTCTGCTCCTATACTTAAGATCACCCTGCCTGTGACTTAACTAGAAACTGGAAACATTTAAAAATGAATGTCCTGTATTTAAAGACTTTTAAGCAAGAGTTCCTTCAAAGGCAGGAATATTGTTGGTTTAATGATAAGACAATCAGAAATTCCTTCTGAATCTTTAGCTGAGACATGTCTAGAAATAACTGTAGCCCTGACTTTCTAGTTCTTAATGAGTTGTCATTACTTTTCACCTAGTCTTTAATGCTATTTGTTTATGAATATATCATGTGTTATCAAATAATATTAAATAATTTTAAATAATAGTTTATTAGTTCAATAACATTGAATAGCAAATATTGACCAACAGAGGTGCAATAAGTTTGGGTAGTAAGTGGGGAGTGCAAAGAGAATTACATGAAGAAGAAAATTTTAAAAGGGTAGGAGGCAAATGAAAACGTGCTGAAGATGAGCTAACTTGGGGAAAAAATAATACCTGGATTCCACAGAATACTGGGTTATATCATATGCTGCTTATAAATCAAATTTCAAAAGAGTTCTTTTTATTTAAAAGTAATTCCATAGTTGAAGTAGAATGCTATGTGGTTTCAAAACCACAAGGGTATACTTTCTCTAAAACAGGTGAACATATATTGAGCAAAAAATAAAAATAAAAAATAATATATGAATATTGGTCCAAACAATATCTTACCTAAATACTGATTTCAAGTCCATGTTAACAGGTATTTTTGGTACCTGTGAAATTTGAGAAGTTAGTGTTTACTTTTATTGTTTACTGTTGAAATTATGAGTTCAGATTTTTAAGTTAAGCTCTTAAATAGAAAATTGATACCATTAAATTTATTTTTAAGGTAAAAAGCATATTGGTTTGTAAATGACCCACCCAAATTTGTTTTACACTTGATTTGTAAGAGAAGAGGTTACAAGAAAATATATATATACATATATGTATGTTACTGGGGATTGAACTTGGGGGCACTCAACCACTGAGCCACATCCCCAGTCCTATTTTGTATATTATTTAAAGACAGGGTCTCACTGAGTTGCTTAGTGCCTAGCTTTTGCTGAGGTTGGCTTTGAACTCATGATTCTCCTGTCTCAGCCTCCAGAACCACTGAGATTACAGGCGTGTACCTCTGCACCTGGCAGACAAAGAATATTTTAAGGAGAGAGACAAGTGTTTATTTTCTAGGTATTCTTTTTAAAGAAAAAGTCTTTTAAGTCTTTACCTCTAGAGCTTTTCTATTTAAGGAAGTTTTCTATTTAAGGAAGCCTAGATGCCTGGTGAAGAGAGCAAAAAAAGGTTCAGGAAATGGCAATTAAGATGCTGATCCTTTTTAAAAATTCTGGTTTAATATTTAGGGGGCTCATAGGGAAAGTGTGGATGATTGCTTTTAGGGAACATGACTTCTAACATTACTTTAACGTTATAAATATAGAGCAATACGCTATTACTCAGCTAAAAAGAAAAATAACCAAGCCATAACATTTAAGTCTATATTAAGAAGGAATGAAAAGTTTAATGTGACACTATTCAATATGATAATCTCTGATCATATGTAGCTCTTGCAATTCGTTTTGTACTTCTAAAACTGAATTTTAAATTTCATTTAATTTTAATTGTTTTAAATTTGAAAATTGATAATGGATCAGTTATTGAAAATGTTAAACATGTTTGGAACAACTCAAGTTTGTGAATCTATTTTTTCAACTCAAGTTTTATGAAATCTAAATGTAGATTAAATATTTCAGATGGAAATTTGCATATAAATTGAGAGGTACCCTAAGCATGTAGTACTTCCAAGACTTAGTATAATAAAAAATTTAAATATCTCGACTATAATTTTGATATTGATACAACTTAATATAATATTTTGCATCTATTGGTATAAATAAAACATAAAAATTTACCTTTTTAAAAACTTTACAAACTATTTAACAGTAAGTTTGTATCATGTTACAATTGTTTTGAACTATCATATCTTAAGTTTTTTCAAGACATAGTTTATTTGAACTAAAATGCAATCTAGGTCAGTGGCTAAATCTCATCAACATGAGAATATTTCTTTTTGACTAGTACAGAGATAAAGTAGTATAAATAGTTTTAATTTTTAATCAATTACTGAATCTAATAACTAATCCAATATCACTATTCAATTAACTCATTATATTCTTTTGTATTATAGAAAATAGAATGTCTTAGAAAATTTAGTGAAACAAATTGGGAAAAATGGTGACAGGGATGAGTGTGGTTTTGATTAAATATTATTATGTCTTGAGTAATATGCAGTATGAAGCACTTAAAGTATCTAGAAAAGTTTATGGTATCTTCTTTCTAACAGGATGTGTTCTTTTCATGTTTTCTGTTTTCCCTGTTTCCTACAAGAAACTGATAAAGGTCAAATGGGATCAAAATCATCTCCAAACGTATAATTCTTTTTTTCCCGTCAGATATACTTATAGGGTATAAATGTGACTTTAATCATAATTTTATTTCACTGTTCTTCTGTCATTTATTCTAGGAGGTGACTTCCTCTCCTATCTGAGAAAGAAGAAGGATGAACTAAAACTCAAACAGTTGGTGAAATTTTCCCTAGATGCTGCTGCTGGTATGTTATATCTCGAGAGTAAAAACTGTATACACAGGTAAGAACATTTTTAAAGCACTTCCCACTTTTATTATAAAATGCTAGAAAACTGATATATTTGCTATGATAAAGCAGTACATTTTTTCCATAAAGCATGTTTTCTTGGTTTTTATATTCTGTGTGAAAGCATTCTTTGCTAGTTGTTGATACAGTTCAGAGAAGCACTTATTTCCCCTCTCACTTGAGGTAAGTACCTAATTAGACAATAATTTATCTCTTAATGAGAATTTTTCTTACGGTAATCATGAATAATAGTGACATGGAATGTACTACAATTATGTTGTAATTATACAATTATAATAATTGCCTTGTGATTTAAAAAATTATTTCATGTGTTGCTTCATTTTTCAAAATCATGGAAAAGCATAGTAGAACAATTCATGACAGTGAGTCTGACCAAGAGTAAAAAATTTTAGCATATGAGTTATTTCAAAGGAGATTTTAGAAAACTTTCTAATTATGCATAGGGGTTTGACCTGCTGTTTTATAGATAGTGGTTTGGGTTGCTTGTAGCTGATGGTGTTCTTTACTGCTAAAGGTCAATGTAACTTTAGTTGTTTTGCAGAATTTGTGTCATACCCTAAATATGACTAAGCATATATATAAGTTACATGAAGTGGGGAATGGTGCAGTTTTTATTCACCAGAACAGTACATTACACTGCATAATACAGGACCTAGGGTTCATTATAAGACCAGGCTGTTGTAGACTTTATCTAATCTGGTCTCATCATCAAAGTATACTTTCTTTTGAGGTTTCTCATTATTGCAGCCTTTAGCTTGACATTTAGTGTGAGGGTGTGTGTGTGTAATATATGTAATTACAGCTAAACAAAGTAATCTTCACCTTTTTACATTTATTTGATCTCATTGGATTTTTTTTTTTACTTAATTTTCCCCTAACACTTTGTTTACTATTCATTTTTATTCTGGAATTAAAATTATGAAATATTTTTCAAATATGACTTAACAACTATATTTTACAATATATTTCAAAGATAATACTATTTTTTCTAGAAATTAATACAACTAATAATAAGATATTGTCTGTTACTTTCTATGAATATAAATCAAATCACATAATAAGATTTTTTTTTTTTTTTTTTTTTTTGGTACTGGTGCTCAACCACTGAGCCACATCCCCAGTACTTTTTTTTGTATTTTGTTTAGAGACAGGGTCTCACTGAATTGCTTAGGGCCTTGCTAAGTTGCTGAGGCTGGCTTTGAATTTGAGATCCTCCTGCCTCAGCCTCCTGAGCTACTGGGGTTACAGGCATGTGCCACCACACCTGGCTTAAGATTTTATTTTTGAAGACTTAAAAAGCATTTGAGTTTAGATAAGATTTGCATTTTAATTGATTTCATTAGAAATAAACACTTTTGTTAATATAAAGTATTTTTCCTTTCATAGAAATTTTGCAATTTTTTTGCTAAGATATTGAGGTATATTGTATATCAAATATCTCATCACATTCTTTACTGTAGTTATTCATTTGGTCACAAATTTTTTAGACTGTTAGGCCATTTATGACTTTAAGCCATAATACTCAAATTATTGAAAGTATTCTGTTAAATTTTCAATTGCCAACAAAATTCTTTACTTTCTGGTACATGGCAATTGAGGGAATCATTGTTGTAATTTCTTACTACTTGTAGTGATTACTTTCCTCACAAATAGATGAGACTGTTCTTTCTTTCTTTTTAAATCAGAATTGAAACCATTTTAGATTGTTGGTGGCAATTAGTTTTTTTAAAGATTTATCCCTGTGTCCAATCATAACAATATTCACTATAGTGTTATTTTCCCGTTTTGCTTTTTAAAAAGGTTTTTTCATGCATTCACAAATTTTTGTAAGCCAGTTTTTGCTTGATCACATATCTTAGCAGCTTGTGCACAGTCCTGTGCCATTTATCAGCTGGGAAGGTTTCCCAATTGAACATCTTGAACCATGTCACTGAGAGCAGGTTTGACGAATAGGTTTCAGTATTAGTGCCAATTTTTAGTGATTGGTAGTGGCTCTCCGTGGTATGTGCTGAGAAAGATTCCAAAATCAGCTACAAACACTCAATAATCAATTAGTCATATCTGACAGGCATTAACACTCAAGCCCCAAATTTGTCATCCTAGGCACAGAATCTTTTTTCTTATTTTCTTTATTCTTTTAAATGTATCTCTAAAATTTAAAAATGTTTGATTTTTTTTTTACTAGCCATAATATACTTAACCCATAATACTTTTTTTATTATCATTTCCTTTGAATTCTTCTAAACTATCTGCTATCTCATTTCCCTTGTTAATAATGGGTACCAGAAGCATTTTATGTATCTCCAGCCAGTGGTCTTTTGTTCCTTTTCAAACTTATATAAATGCTCTTTTGAATGAATTTATTTTTATTTTGGTTTTCTCAACAATGTATGGCTCTGTATTGAGAAAATGAAGCATTCTTGTGTTGAATTTTTATAGTAGTGAATTCCACTGTAGAACCCTGCTCATATCCACTAACCTGTGGAACTATTTTTCTGGGGGCAGTAGTAATTGCAAAGGGATTTTTCTTGCTTTATAGTAAGAAAATATATTCAAGATACATTATCAAAAAATATCAAAGAAAAATATGTAATACTACAGTGAATTAATTTTCCTCTAGAAAAATTTCTAAGAAGGTAGTTAAAATAAACTAATATAATGTAATCCATGATTAAGACTTTAGTTTTTCAGAAAACAAAATGATTAAATCCCATTTTTGACATTGCAGAATATTAAAATAAGTGCATCTCTATGAATTAAGTTTATATTCAACAAMTCCAACTAGAAATTTAGAATGTTTTAAGTTTTATATTAACTAATAAGTTTTATCCTGTTCACTGAGTAGAGGTCACTGGAACTCTGTATAAAAATGTTTCTCCACCCCAAATAGTAGTCTTTAACTTTTGAGAACACATTTTCTTTCTTTAGCTTTATTTATTAACTATTATGAGAAGAATGGAGTGATGTTTTATTATAGAAAAATCAGATGACAGATATAAAATGGAAATAAATTTAAGAAAAGAATGTGAATTTGGAAAATGTTGTAATTTCCAGAAGAGTTCTCTTCATACTGTTTTTAACTGTTACTATTTTTATTTATAACTGGAGAATAGCTGGATGTTTTGCTAAAGTTTAGCGGTTTTATAATTTTTTTAAATTTCTTCTAATACATGACAGTAGAATGCATTCTGACACATCATACATAAATGGAGTATAACTTCTCATTCTTCTGATTGTATGTGATGTAAAGTTACACTGATCATGTAATCATATATGCACCTAGGATAATAAATCAATTTCATTCTATTATGCCTTAATTTCATTCTTCTTTAAGGTTGAGTAATATTCCATTGTGTATTTACACACCATATTTTCTTTATCCATTCATCTGTTGAAGGGTATGTAGGTGGGTTCAATAGTTTAGCTTTTGTGAGTTGAGCTGCTGTAAACATTGATGTGGTCATGTCACTRCAGTATGTTGATTTTAAGTCCTTTGAGTATAGACAGAGGAGTGAGATAGTTGGGTCAAATGGTGGTTCTATTCCAAGTTTTCTAAGGAATCTCTATACTGCTTTCCAAATTGGTTGCACCAATTTGAAGTCCCACTAGCAATGTATGAGTGTGCCTTTTCTCCCACATCCTCACCAAACTTATTGTTGTTTGTATTCTTAATAGCTGGCATTTTGATTGGAGTGAGATGAAATCTCAGTGTAGTTTTGATTTGCATTTCTCTAATTGCTAGAGATGTTGAACATTTCTTCATATACTTGTTGATTGATCATATTTCTTCCGTGAAGTTCTGTTCAGTTCCTTAGCCTATTTATTGATTGCGTTATTTTTTTGTTAAGTTTTTTTTTAATATATCCGAGAGATTAATGCTCTATCTAAAGTTTAGTTTTAATCAACTGTGTTTTAAAATAATTATTCTGTAGGCCAATGTGAAATTTTTTTCCTGATTATACTTTGACTATTTGAAATATCCTGATAAGCCTTACAAGAGTGTGTGTGTGTGTGTGTGTGTGTGTGTGTGTGTGTGAAAATAGCATATTATTGGATTGTTGGGTGTCAGTATAATGAAATGTGAAACCTAACTAATTTTGAAGTTAGATGGATTCAAGGTTAAATAGTAGATTTTAATGGTAATGTCATTTTTGTTTTTATCGTGATCAATCCTTCTGTAAGATTTGCTTTCAGTTTATTTCTTAAAGTTGGTCTTGTGCCATTTTTTCTCTAATATATCTAAGGAAACGTAAACATTTTACTGCCATATAGTGGAGTTAAAGACCATAAGCTATAGTGCATTTGGAGGAGCATTTCTTACTTTCATGATATTCTGCCACTATCAGTACCAGAAAAGTTACTTCTTCTCACCCTTCCTGCCCTCAGAGAGGAAGGACAGAGAAGGGTGAGGTAGAATATGATTTTTTTCTCAATTTTTTATTGATTCTTCTTCACGTTTGATTGCTGTACCACAGTGATGTTTTTGTTGTAGAGTAAGGCAACAACTTTACAAATTAAAGCCTGTCTGACTATGTTTATTTTATTAGCAATAATAAGAGTTTGTGTATTTATTGAAAACAATGATATGTCCAGTACAATTTGATCATGCCTAATCTGAAAATCCAAAGTCTGAAATGCTCTAATATCTGAAACGTTTTAGCACCGACATGATGCCATGATGGAAAATCCCTACACTATGAAACTATTTTCATACACAAAATTATTGAAAATATTATATGAAATTTTTTACAGGTTATATGTATGCAGTGTATGTGAAACAAAGTAAATCTTGTGTTTATACTTGGGCCCCCTCCCAAGATATTTTTTTTATTAAAAAATCTAAAATCTGAAATATTTTTGGTCTGTAGCGTTTCAGATAAGGGATACTCAATATGAACAGTTCATTGACTCTGTGGCAGATTGATAAAACATGAAAACCATGGTGCTGTCCTCAGATAGACATAACAAAAAATA